CCCCGCGGGAGGCGGCGGCTCCCTGAAACCCTGCTTGGTGGGGGAGGGCGAGGTGGTCGGGCGTTCCCGCTCGCCTTCAGCCTTGCTTCCTCCCTTTTCCGACTCTGGGAGGCGGGAACTGTGAACTCAGCGCTGGTCTTGGCGCTTAGCTTCCCTCGGGTTGCTCCCAGTGGCTTTCTAATTTTCCTAAGTGGGCAGCTAGTCAGACTTCTGGGATCACAGCAAAGCATCTGTCTTAGCAAGTAACAGTAGGAAGTGACATGGGGCCTGTAGTCCAGTTTGGAGGAGCGAGACAAGTCTTGTGTGATCATTTCACGGTAAACCTTCCTTGGGATTTCTCCTGAACTGACCTGACCTTTCCACCCCAGATCATTTTCTCCTTAACTAGATAAGAGTTTGGCACTAGATCATCCCAGGAAGAAACCTGATACTCCACTTCAAGTCAGAACCCCTACAAAAGCTACCTCCTCACAACATTGTAAATTTCAAAGGCATAAAGGGAGCAGCATCCCTGCTTCTGCTTCTTCTGTACATATTTCTGTCTTCTGAGACTGATGTATTCCAACGAAGATATTACCAGACAAACGTCAACTTAGGGAGGGAATATCAAAATACTCCTACAGAGGTCTAGATTCAGTTAATTAAATCACAACTACTCATACATTGCCCAGTTTCACACTCTTAAAAACAGATTTATTGAGCTATAAGTTACATGCAACTCACCATTTAAAGTTAATATGTTTTACATCTTTGTAAATAAAGGAGGGTTGAGGGGGTGAAGGGAAGGCAGGGGGATGGGGGAAAAATGAGAACCAAGACCTGTCATGTAAAGGTACAGGATCCCAGCAATGAATGTAACTACTCTACACTTAAAAAGTACCAATAAACTCAGTAAAAAAATAACGTTAATACGTTTTAAAAAGTTTCCTCCAGCTGCGGATGTAGTTCAGTAGTTCCGCTGCCTGCCTCAGAAGCAAAAGGTCCTGAGTTTGACCCCCCCACACAGACCAAAAAAAAAATGTTCCCTCCATTCTCAGTTAGTTTCTCCCCTTATCCTTTTGGGTGGTGTGTGCATATGTGTGTTTTGCTGGCAGTCAAACCAAAGGCCTGGGTCCTAGGTACGTACACACTACTCCCGGCCCTACTCCCCTTATCCTTGTGTAGGATCTTCCTCTGTACTGTATATTAATTCCATTTTTCCTAATCTTGGCCACTTCATTTCCTTTGGCTTAATTTTAGCTTGTAGAAGATAAGTCTTTTGCACAGGACAGGCTCTGGTTGTAAGCATTCACTTCCCTAACCTTTCGAGGCCTAAGTTAACCTCTTCTATCGGTACTTCCTGGGTTCCAGCCTTTGTCCCTTCCTCTTCCTCCTACCCCCTGCACTCCCTCTAGTTTAGTTCTTCCTGTTTCTTTTTTATCTACTCCTGCCTTCCTACTTATTCCTTGCAGCAGCCTTTTCCACTGGCCCCGCCAGTTTGGCTCAAACGGACCTGGCTTTTTTATTTGTTCTCTGAATGCAGAATATTGGTTAAAAGCCTTTTTAGCTATTCACTTTCCATTATGAGTACAGCTTGTGCTAACACAAAGTTGTTCCTGCTTGTTTCAGATAAGGAAGCTCCCTTTGGGAGCCCTTAATACACCTTAACTGGTTAAAGCAAATTGAATTTTTTTCTGGCAAGTCTTTGAATAACCTTTCCTGGTTTAAATTATGTGAAGTGTTGTGTTTACAATTTTTCTTACCTATCATTGTCCCTTATTAACATTACCTGAGAGGGAGCACATAATATTTTGAGGTTAATACTATCTACCCTTAATAAGTGGCAAGAATATTCACAATAGTGTGAGGGGGTATCAGACTCTGGTATTTCCTTTGTGCATTTTGTTGTTCTGTCTTGTCTGGATTATTGAAAACCTTATGAGTGGTGATTAAATGATAGACTTTTCATAGTTTGCTCATTGTTTTCATTTACTAATTAATTGTTTGGGCAGGCTCACGTTTCTGGCAGTTGCTATGTAGTATTTGATGGACTTTACTTACACCCAGAGGAAAATATTTGTATGAGTCCTGTGGCTATAGAAAATACTGTTAAGGCTTCGTCACTTCTCTGTCCTAATGGCTGTCCCATTCCTGGCACAGTGAGACCAGCAGATGATAAGAAACGCAGAGAAAATCGGGACTGAGAAAAGGTGCTCTGCTGAGAACTGAGATGACAGCAACAAGTGGGACGGACACTTTAAAACACTAAAATATTGTTAACTGGACAGTATTTTCTTTGGTGTTGTCCAGAAAAGAATATCACTATGATACCATGTAAAACAGTGTGGCATAGTTGACACATGGTTAAAATCATTGTTGTGTCATGTAATGTGTGATCTTAGTTAAAATGCTAAGCCTCTGTGGGCCTGTTTGCTGAGGTATGTACAACAGGAATACCAGCATCTGCCTGAAGGACTGTTGTGAAATCTGCATTAGGCAAAGTATAGATTGGATGCTGAACTGAATGCTAGTTTGTCAGAGCAAAAACTGAGTTTGTTTTTTCCCCCTTTGTGATTATAACACATGGTGTCATTCATAGCTGACACTTGTTCTTACAGTATGGGTAACAAATCTGCGCAAATTGGTCAGGCAGTAGAGTTTTGTGACTTTTTGTTGTGTATTGGAGAGCGCAATGTGGTATGGAAAACCTGCCTGGAATTTGGTGTCATGTGATTTGAGTTGGAGACTTTCCCAGTGACAGATTGTCATTAGGTCAGTTGTTTCACACCTCATCTTTAAAATGGGGTTAAGAGATTGCTGTAACTTCCCAACAGGATGTTAAATTTAAAATTTTTTTTTTTTATTTTTTGATACTGGGAATTGACACCAGGGCTTTTGCATTGGGCTACATCCCAGCCCCCTCCCTCTTTTTTTACTTTGAGACGGGGTCTTGCTAAATCACTAAATTGCCACTCTGGACTTGAATTTGCGATTGTCCTGCCTCAGCCTCCCAGAGTGCTAGGATTATGGTGTGTACCACCATGCCCAGCTTCAGTGAAATGTGTGTTTCAATTTGTTATGTGTTTCAGTGAAATGAAACTACTTGCTTTGGAGTGAACGTTACCTTTTTTATCAGTCCAGCTTTTGCTTGATGACTATGTTAGTCCTTTTAGAGGCAGAACAATACTGTATGTTGAAGTGTTTCTTACAAGAAGGTTTAACAGCATTAAGGAAGTTAGGATCCAACATATACAGGGTTTGCCAAAAAAAAAGTACACATTAGGAAAAGAAAAACTTTTATAAATATTTTAATACTAAATTTATCGAGACATCATGAAATTAATTCAAGTTATCTTTGTTCTCTACTATCACAAGAGGTGTTGGAAAGTGGTGGCCATTAGCTTCCAGACATTTATTAGTACAGCATACTGACTGCTGAAATGTATACCCATTTATGTGTGTGTGTGTACTTTGTATTTTAGGTGATAATCCTGAATTTTACTTTTCAGGTCTTTGGTTGTATCTCCTATGTATGTATGTATGTATTTAGCAGTGCTGGAGATTGAGCCTAGGCCCTTCATCACTGAGCCACATCTCCAACTCCTGTTATGTACTTTAAACTGCCTTCACCTCTTCTTTTTTTTTTTTTTTAATTTATTTCCACCTCCTCTTATGCCTTTTCTTTTTCTTACAGTGGAGTACTTTATGTGTTTGTTTGTTTGTTTTTTTTTTCAAAGAAGATGAACATCTTTTTGGGAGTTGGTTGGAAGGCTACTTAGAAAGTAGCTCTTTGTGTATATGACTTGGAATATAACTCTGCCTTCTTATATCTTTTTTTTGTTGTTGTTGTTATGGGGATCAAACTTGGGTCCTTGAGCTTGTGAGGCAGGCGTCAGAACCACTGAGCTAAATCCCCAGCCCTGTTTGTTTTGTTTTTGGTACCGGGGATCGAACTGTGGTCCTTGTGCTT